TAGTTTCGTAAAGGGATTGACACCAAGTAGCCAGTCAAATTGAAAAAGCTTGCGATCAAAATCGTCCCCCCGCCTCTAGATCGCTTTACTTTGGTAGGCGTTGATTCGTTTTGAAACACTCAAACCGTTGACTGGCGATTTGTTTCTGGATCGTATTGATAAATCCAGGATTCATCACCTGTAACGATGTCGTAAACACGCCGAGACGAGCCTGCTTCAAATTTGTCTATCATATCATGGCACCATTCCACTCTTGTCTGCTTCTGAACACCGGTGAGGTTGTACGCCAGCGTGAAACTATCCTCCGCACCCGTAGATGCACTCGTGAAGGCTACCTGATCCAATCTGCAGTATGTGTTGAATCTTTTGGTATGTAACTCGTCTATTATCTTGAATAAAATTTTTCACTGCTAGCACGTTTTCTTCTGTAACAGCCGTCAAAGGGCGATCACTTCTTTCTTCATCCTCCAAAGTTAGTCGACCGCACTTAAATTCATTATACTAACGATACACGATTGCCTTAAAGGGCCTTCATCCATGAATGTCATTTGAAGTCTATCGTACGATTCGTCCGATTTCAGACGACACTTAAAATTGTAAAAAATCATAGCGTGAAAACGATGTTCTCGACGCAAATCCATTCTTTAAAGAGACACGGTAATTTTAATTAGCTCGCAAAAAAGTGGAGGGAAATTTTGAATTTAAAACGTACCTATTTTTAAATAAATTATAACTAGCCAGTCTCACATACATAAAAACTTTTTCTCGCAATACTTTCTAAGTGACCTGAGGATCTACCATGAAATATTTTCCGAAATTTTGGGGACGAACGAAACAGAAATTTGATATTAAAATTACATAATACATGCCATTTAAAATTATTAAAAATGTTAAAATATCGTTTCTCTGGACTATTAGGATAAAAACGAAATGTTAAGCTCCATTTTCTGGGTCGATTTCGGTACGAACAAAAACATGAAATTGAGCCCGAAAATTCGGAATTTCATTTCATGGTAGACCACCTGGTATTTAGTAGTTTTTTCGTAAAAGAGTAACTAACATCTATCATCCATCGTTATAAACTTTCGCATTTATAATATGCATATTTATATATTTAAAATCCGAACATACTACAGTTTTAATATTTAATCTTAAAAATAATATTTTGTCTCACCTGTGTGAGATGAAAAGTGAGGATGAAAATTGGTTAGTTGGTTCATCGTAACGAATTTATTAACAATAGATTTGATGGAGAATCGCGTGGAGGTCGACCTAACAGCGTATATTACACACATCAAAAAAGTCTAAGCAACACATAATAATTTCAGTTTTACAATGTGTTTTCGTATTAAATCCTTAGTATTTTCTTATTTATATTATTTTTAATGCTTTTTTGATATTACACAACAATTTTTTTTTTATTTTTTTTAATAATCTTAATTAACAATAATTACGAGTAAGTACTATAAGTACAAAGTAAGGTTCCTAATCAACTAAACTTAAACTAAAATTAAATGGTTGTATAAAAATTGCATAAATTAATACAAAGTGTGGCCTCCTCTGTTATGGAGAACTTGCTGGGACCGATTATTCATAGAATCGATGAAACTGTTAATGCTATCGTGCGGCAATTACTCCCAATGAAATTTTAGTAAGTCCATCATTTGTTGGGTGGTTGTCACTCCATCCAAGTCATTTAAAACACGTCTTTGGAGCATGTCCAATGCATGCTCGATAAGTTGAGGTCTGGCGATTGTGCAGGTCAAGGCAATACCAGGATGTTTTCCCTTGCCAAGTACTCCCGTGTGTGCAAAGCTGTATACGAACGCGCATTGTCATGCATCAATGTGAAATCGGAGCCAAGCGTTTGTGCGAATGGAAGGACATAAGGCCTTAGAATATCCTCAACGTAATTTATAGCGTTCATATTACCATTTACAAAAACGAGCTCAATTCGTCTGTTCTTTATAATACCCGCCCATACCATAATTGTTGAGCCGTTGTATGGATGCACTTCCTGAGCAAACCTCAGTCTTTCAGTATTTCCAGGACGACGGTTACCCTTCTAGTATCAGGCTTGAACCCAAATCGAGACTTATCGCAAAATAAAATTTTATCCCATTGTTCCCGGGTCCATGTAATGTATTCCCTACACTATTCATTTCGACTAGCGCGATTTTCGTGACGTATCGGTGGGCACCTAATTGGCCGTCGTGCTCGTAGGCCATACTCATGCAGTCGATTTCGCACAGTTTGTCAGCTAACAACAACACCACTTGAATTTTGTAGCCTTAAACCTATCTCTCGGGCGGTTAACATCGGCTAGCGTCTTGAAGTTAGTTGTATGTATCGATCTTGCCGTGTGGTTGTACACCTTCCTCGACCTAGGTGCTGCTCAGCAGGATCTCCCATGTTAGTGTAACGCTGATGAAGACGGCAAATAACGTTTCTGTTGACACCAAAATACCAAGATACCTGAGATTAACTTCTTCTCGCTTGCAACATCCCGACAGCTCTTTGCATTTCAATTGCGTTCAAATGACGTCGCTCCATGACGTAAAAATGTCTCAAAATCCAAATTTGTTCAAAACTTTTTCAAATTATTATTGAAATCATAAAATTGATACAGAGTACTAAATTTTAACAAGCAAAGAAAACGCTATAAAATTCGAACAAGTGCATTGGCTTTTGAATTTGTGAAAAAAAAAAACAAATGATTCTCGATTTTTTTTTACAACTAGCCACTATGTCCTCTAGATAAAAAGAAATTACATAGGTATTACCTACTTGGTAAGAAATGATATAATAATTGTATAATAATTTGAAATAGTATGTGTTGCTTAGACTTTTTTGTGCAGTGTACTAGTAATGTGACTGTTAGGCCCACACAATTACTTTCCCCTAATTGATTTACCTACCTGACTTGTGAACGCGTTTTTGTGCATTTTATTTTTAAGATACACGTCTGATACATTTACATGCATGTATTTAACATGTGAACTATTTTCCAATAATTCTCTTTGAAGTTAAATTAAAATACCCTTTAATCTTTTAACGTATTTACTTTACTGCAGTGACGTACAGTACTATGTACATAAATTTCGTTATAAAATAAATGTAACTCGACACATTATATTTTTTAAAATTCGATATTGTACCTTTTTATTTATATGGAATAAGTAATAGAATATTAAATATACGGGCCTTACTGTTCTTATGGAATTTATTTTTTATTAAAATATTAAAACTAATCAATATCGTTCTCAATTATTTCCCTTTATTACTTAGAGGCTGCATCATCGTGTACAGCGCAATTTTAGAGGTGTTTCCTCCCACGAATGCTCAGGTTATGAAATGAGCTACCTGTCGAGGTTTTTCCAAGAGACAACAGCATGGAGTTCTTCAATAAGGGGTATAGGTTTCTTCAGGGTCAGCAACGTGCGCATAATGTCCCTGATATTACAGGCGTTCATAGGCTACGGTAACCGCATACCATCACGCGGGTATTATTGTTCGTCACCTCAGTGATATAAAAAAATAACATTCTCATATATTTTCTAATAAAATTGTGACAAACGTGAAAAGGCCTGCAAAAAGTAGAATCGATGACCAGTCGCACCTACCTATAAAGCTTGTGCATGGCGATATACTTTAAATCTAAGTAGAAAGTTTTCTACTAATGTTCTATAATTAATAACAGTGCAATTATATCTTAGAAAAATCAATTGTCATAACTATGTAAAGCGAAATTAAAGTTAGAGATAATTATATCAGGAGTATATACAGTGAATGATAGTCTGTTATGAAAATAAACTAATAGCTATTACTTATGGGCTCACACGATACATGCATACGATTTTCCAATAGAACGTTAATTGAAATTTGCAACAACCGTTAAATACATCGATACTTCCCAATACTCCCTTTTAAACGAGAAATGTTTACTTGTTGCCATAATACTTATTACATGCAGCAACACATGGTAGGCTGTCTGTACTAAAATAAATAAATTTAACATCTTGTTTTAATATGAATTCAGACTTGATAAATTTTGTAGTAAATTACCTTCGTCTTTTAATATTGCTTGTTGCCGTCGACCTTGATTAGTTTGATTACAATATAGCCTTTGAACCATAACCAGGGAGCGCCTGGCCAAACCCGCATTACTAGGTTCTTCACAATGAGTTTGCAGATGCTATCAGCGACATTGTCATATGTAATTATGTTACTGGGGCGAAACGTTTTATTGTACAATACTGAAGCAGATATAAAATTCTTGAACCTCTCACGAATCAAGACATATAGTTTGTTCACACATTAAAATAATAATTTAATTATGTCTTCATTATCTTAATTTATATAAAGACCTTACTACTAATGCGATAACATCATTTTATAATTGTAATACGTAAATCAGCACTACATTAAATATAATGGACCATATATTATCAGCTGATTATATATTAAGCATTAAAAATATAATAATAGTAAAATATACGGGGAGATGTTTATAAAAGTAAAGATATAGTAGGTACTACATCTTTCGTATCTGCTCTACATAATGGCTTTGACAATCAAGTACTCTTACATTTTTAGGCACTATTTCAATTATTGATACCCATGTGTATTTTATAAAATACTGGCTAATTTTACTATTAGCGTATGATTTACTTAATCTTATTTATAATGGCGTGTGGTCCCGGCACAGAACAGTCCACCCCTTTCTTTTCCATGAGTTGTTTTTACAACACTAATAAGGGAACTTAATGGTCGAGGGATGGGCGCAGCGCTCCTCTTAAAACATTACCAAGACATAACTGCTGTTGCCAATCTACCTATTAAGCGTGGCAGCTATTAACAAATTTTAAGGGGGAACATATGAACAGAAGTGGAGAGTTAACAGCTGATATGATGATGAATCTTATTTAATTGTACTTGTTTATTCCTTATTGAGATTGAAAAAAGGTTCGCATGTTAACATTCATGATAATACTTTACAGGGACGTCCGTTTCAATAAAATTACTGACATAACGCCAGGTATTTTGGGTCATCTGCATCGTCTGCGTTCACTGCTCCTCAACGATAACCAGCTGCGTCAACTACGATCGGGCGTTTTCCGTGGCCTCCGACGCATCAAGTATTTGTACCTCTATCGAAACAGGATACAACACATCGATCCCGATGTTTTTTATGGACTTCTTCATTTGGAACAGCTGTAAGTTAATAGTCCTAAGTGGTTATTAATACAATCGAAAACAAAGGCGGCTTTAAGGAGGGTAGAGGGGGGTTGTTGCTGTTAAAGGGTGTGCCGATATGTAAGATAGGTATTAGGATTAATTAAAGATTGTTTCAAATTCGATTTTGGAGTGATCAGTGCGCATTCTTATTCTTATTTATAAAAAAAAAAAAATAAAGGCATAACAGTCTAAACCTTATGGAATGGAGGGCGACAATGTGCATTATGTTTCAATGGTGTTATTATTAATGTTGATTGTCATTTATTTTTAAAGAATTAAATACAAAATAAATATAAAAAATATGTCAAATCTGTAACTGCAGTACGTTAGCAACAATGAATAGGTATATGGATATTTATTTATTTATATTATTAATAACAATGATAAGAGAAGAAGCATCAGCTTGTTTGGTAATTATATAAAAATGATCCGATAAATGCACTTCCGAAAATTTCGAACTATATAGTTGTGCATTCTGTAAAAACCTACTTTGATAACAACATATTTTGCGCTATTAATATGTAATCGCATTTTTATGCCATTTATTATATAAAAAATAACAAAAGTTACATTGAAGGTCTTTGTAGTGACAATACTTCAATTATTAAACTCGTGGTAATGATATATGCTTAGTTAGAAACATCAATACGTCCATTGTACTACATTTACAATTTATTTACTCTGAAAATGATGTCATTGTTGTACCTACAATCTATACAAATTATAACATTGTTACTAGGCTGTACGTATACAGACATTACTCTAAAACTGCTAAACAGATATTAATAAAATGTGATTTGATTATTAACTTAGTATCCAATCAATTTAGGATTCGATCCATGTATAAGATATTTTTTACATCGGGATAGTAAAATTTCTTATTTAAACTAATTTAATAAAGAGGAAAGAATTTAATTTTTATTTGTTATGAATATACACATATAGTATACTTTATATATAAATATTATACATTATCTACTTGTAATATAAACAACCTGCAAGTCGGTCTTGAGATCAACGTTCGATGTATGCATTTGTTGTGACCATTCGAGTGAAATAATAGGGAATCCAGATGAGCATGACAGATTTATAGTTCACTGATGCAGTAATAAATTTAACGCGCTTTCATAATAACTTGTGCATTTAAATATCTCATCACTGAAGTACCTACTACAATTATCTATTACTATCTACTGTTTTGTTCCTTTTTTTATAATAACGTCAATAACATACCTTGCTTGGTCCTTAAGCTAAGACACCCTGTGTTATGAGAAACTAGGTAACGAACGCCTACGGGCACAGCCCATAATATCCGGACCCAAGCCAATTCAGAAAAAAAAATTCTATTCTTAAATCGGCTCATCCGGGAATCGAATTCGAGATATAAATGTGTGTACTACTGCGTTACGGAGGTTGTAAAGTAATTAAAATTTTGTTTCATAAATGCATTACCTAATTTTGACAAAATATAAAATCAATAAAAGAATAAACACTACAATAAAAAAAAGTATTTACAAGTAAAATTGGTTCATATTTGAGCAAGATGACGTGTATTATGTAATATTTTGTAATCGTTAAAAAACCTTTAATTAAATATAAATTCAAAGGTTTTCAGATTTCGGTGGCTATTGTGTACTGTATAAGGATTTACGTTAACATTGCATACGAGTTTATGTTCAAAGTTTGTATGAAACTCTGAGTTTGCAAAACCATCCGCTAGAGGCGCAGCTAAGTTTCCAATACAAATTATCGGAGTAAATGCTAATGCTATTAACGTACGGTAAATTCATATTAGAGATTTTGTACTGAAGATCTCGAAAAGCGTTACCTATAAGTAATAGATTAGTCTAACCTGCAAATAGCTATCCCTGTTTTCCGTTTATTAATTCATACTAATACTATAAAGAAGAAATATTTGATTGTTTGTAATAGATAAAAACTACTTAACTGATTTAAAAAAATATATCTATAGAAAACTTCATTATCAGCGAATAACATCGTGTTTATATTAATTTCGAAATAAAAAAAATAGAGATTCTACGAAATTTTCAATAGTATAGCGTCAAAAATTTGCATATTAAAGCTAATATCAAATATTAATTTATCTGTCTACCTGTGCGAAGCCGAGGCGGATCGCTAGTACTTAATAATATTCATGTACATGTATTCTTATTTTAGATACTTGCATGTTAACGAGATTCATCATATCGAACCCGACATGTTTTATAACTTGCCACGACTGGAAAGACTGTAAGTATTGCCAAGCTCTAAATGGAGCAAAACAAGATTTTTTAAAATAAGTAAAAAGCTCACTAATTTATAATACTTACTGTGATTAAGAATACATCTTTCGTGACGACTGATTGAGCCATACAGACGCCAAGCAAGAGATAATAAACAAAACTCACATTTACATTAAATGCAATGATAAATTTTATTATATAAAAGTGAGTTTATTTAATACTTTATGGCGTGTAAATTACTCAATCAATTGTTATGAAATTTTATATACATGTGATATTTGGTATGGAGAATGAATTAGGCTACTTTTTATCCCTTTCAAGTCTCGGTCATGCGGGCAAAATTAGCAGAATGTTAAGAATCACAATGTCGTGTTCTCCTGTCGAATTTTATTAATATATATGAAAGTTTAAGACGATAGATAGATGTCTGACGTTCACGCAAAAACTACTGAACAGATTTGAATGAAATTTGATGCACGAGTTGGTTATATCCAAACATATAGGATACTTTATTATATATTAATCCGTGTGGGCAAAACCGCGTAATATAGCTATTATAAATGTGAAAGTGAAATTAGTTTGTTACTTCTTAGTGCCTTAATAGCTTTACAAATTTCAAGGAAATTTGGTATATATGTTTGTACTATAAAGGACTGAGAAGTACATTAGCTCTTATTTATCCCAATCAATGAATATATTTAGATCCCGCGGACGAAGTAGCAGGTAAAGCTAGTTATCATATATTAGTAACAGCCATTGGACATTAGACAGTTAGCTTTAATGAATTTTTATTAAATTATTTCAAATTTACCATTAACTAATAACAATTAAAAGTCATTAAATTAAACAGGATTCACTACTAAACATTTTGTTTTATTTACAGGTATCTTCACAACAATTTGCTGAAAGGGATTCCTTCAGGTTCATTTCGAAATTTGCCTAAATTGCGTAAACTCCGTTTGGACAGCAACGCACTGATCTGCGATTGTTCTATGTTGTGGTTTGTTGAAATGTTATCTCAGCACAGGCATATGGAAATCGCAGCAACCTGTTACGGACCAGACGATGCTACTGGAATTCCTTTAGCTGTTATGACCGAAAAGGATTTTAACTGCCGTGAGTATCGAATATTATAATTGTTTTTATCTATCTATTTACGAATTAGTTTATACAATATCCTATGTTATATTAGGAGATAGCCTACATATGTGTCAAATTTCATCCAAATCCGTTCAGCCGTTTAAACGTGATTGAATAAGAAACGAAACAGCTTTTCAAAGTTTTATTTATAATATTATAATAGGGACGGTAGAGCTCTTGTCATATGTAAGCAGTATATATTTGATTAATTTTACACTTTGTAAATGGGAAAATATGTATAATGTTTTATATTCATTACCATTGCTCTACCCATAGACTTGGCATAACGTACTTGCTCTAATTCTGGACAAATTAATTTTTTGGTCTAAATTTGACCAACGTCAATCGAATAAGGCCTAATTGTATAATTAATTCAACTAGAGGGGTCAAGAATAGGTGTTTTCCTTATGAATCATTTATGTATAATTATACGTGTCATATTAAATATTAATTATTTATAACATAAAGCGTATCCAGTGCTAAAGTCCGGCCGCTCAGATTGCGTTTCTGACAGGTCGTGATCGAATGGGTGATGTAACTTCGAACTGGCGTACAATTTACGGCAAAAGTTTAAACATCTTTTATTAACCTTAATGACGAGTAATAACATTAAAAATTGCATAATTATGCCAATTTACAATAAACATATTAATTTTGGGCTAAAGTTATTAATAATTATTTAATTAACAATTATAAAAACAATAGTTTTTAAAAGTCTAACACGTCAAACTGCGCTGTTTCAAGGTTATGCTAACTGTTTGTTTTTGTAGTGATGAGACAAAATAATAAGGTAATTGTAATTAAATATTTTTATAATTTTAATATAATCTGTCGGTCGAATAATTTTATAATATATAATGTACTGAATACATATTTAATAAAGTTTATAATCCGATACAGGTACGTACAAAACTTAGGAAAATAAGTGTCGTGATATTAGTCAGATGAATTAAAAGAAAAAAAAATACTTTATACTTTATATTTCTGGTAAAAAATGGCAACCCAAAATAGCGTTGTGAGGACCGTCATTTTGTGACATTCACAAACAGTCTTCTCTTGTCGTGTCTGACCGCTATATCCGTATAGGTACTGTGATTGACAATAATATGATAATACATGTTAGTGAAAATGACAGCGAGTCCTCGAGCGAATTGGAGTCAGATTAAATTTAAAACTATGTATTTCATGATATATATTTTCCAATAAATTCAACATTTTTATTTTCTTTCCCTTCGTTACATTCATAAATTACGATTTAATTAAATTCATTTATCAACAATTTTATTAACATTGTGTTTAAAATATAATTCTTATAAAAAATAACTAAATATATATGAAATTGAATAAATATGCGTAATGACTGCAATAAATAACGTTACTAAATATTATTAATGTTATTTATGGTACATCACTAGTTATGACGAATTGATGTGTTAGAAACACAAGTTCTGAGCGACCAGACACTAAAACTGTTCCTGATGGTACGGGTACAACTGTATTCATGTTGGGGGGAAAGGGATTGTTAGCAATGGAGTTTGACAGCCCCATTGCTAGCAATATACCTTATTAAGCCGTCTAATTATGGTTCCCCCTGGAAACCATCGTGAACAATTCTTGTTGAATTCGTCACTTTGGGCTAACTGACCTGCTTCATCCTCACCTATCATCCTTCACTGGTGCCCCTCCGGTGTATACCGATAGCGCGGGTGGGGGTTACCATTCCATTATCACCCATTAAAAAAAACTTTATTCATGTTCGAAAATAAATACATTCTGCATGGTTAAGCTCTCCAAGTAATTTATTGAATACTAGCTATATTGCGCGGCTTCAACCACGTAAATCAGTTTAAAAAGTATCTTATGTGTTAAGTTAGGATATAACTTACCCGTGTATCAAATTTAATTAAAATCTTTGATGAAAAAGTAACAAACATGGATGATGTTTCATCAGAGGGAGACTTTGTATAAAGGTCGTTTGCTTGGGCACCTCTGTCAAATTCGTATTTCAATCATGAAGCAGTTGTGCTTTTTTTAATGGATGATGAATGGAGTGATAACCTCGCCTGCGCTAACGGTATACGCTGGCGGGGCACCAGTGAGGGATGATAGGTGAATAATGAAAAAGCAGGTCAGTCAGCCCATCGTGATGAATACACCTGGAACTCAACACGATGGTTTCCAGGGGGAACCGCGTGGAGGTCGACCTGACAGGGTATATTGCTAGCAATGGGACTGGTAGCACGCATTACTAACGATCCCTTCCCCCCGAAGCAGTTCTGTTTGCATGGCTGTGTTTCGGTTTGAAGGGTGGAATATGGCAGTGAATTTACAGGGTATAGAGGAATAACATCCGAGTCCTCAGGAATGGCAACGCATGGGGGATATTATGGATGAAACAGTATACTTTGTTATGTCCATGGTACTAATGTCTATAGGCGAAGATTACCAGTTTCTATAAGGTGATAAGAAATCCATCCATTAAAGAATAGGATTAGTGTGTAAAATATACTTAATTATTAAGAATAAAAAATGTTAGAATAAGTGTATTATATATATATCTACATTGTAAATATACATCTACATCATCATCATCGTCATCGTCATATCAGCTTTTAATAGTCCACTTCTAAACATAAACCTTCCTCTTGGAAGTTTTGCCGGTAGTTACCATGCTTGGCAAGCGGTTTGGCAACCGCAGTTAGGCTTTGGAGATATTTTAAGAAGTACGGAGCTGCCAATCTCTTAGTCGCCTCTTACTACACCCACGGGAAAGGAACGGGTGGTCTATTTTATGACGGGACTACATGGGAACATTATGAATACTATGTATTTAATACTCTTTTATGTTTTTAGGACAGCCTGAGATAGAATCAGGTCCCGAAGATGTGACCGTTAATTTTGGAGAGGACGCTGTGTTCAGTTGTGTTGCGAAAGGAGAACCCACTCCTGAAATTATTTGGTATCGCGATTCCTCAACGTTGCCAATCAGTGCAAATCGATACGAAGTAATGCATAACGGTACTCTCATGGTTCATGACGCTGAAGAATCCGATCTTGGATATTTTGAATGCTTAGCTAAAAATCCCGCTGGTGAAGCGCGCTCGAGGCCTGCGAGAATGATTCTCCAATCTATGCCGGACAACAAAGGTAAATTTTGCATATTTAGAAAGAAATGACTACTTTAAATTTAGATTAATAAATTAAAATGTTTTAAATAATAATTCAGTAAGGATATTAAAGTCATTAATTATATTTTTCTTTCATAGGTATACCGGTTTTTACAGTAGCACCTCGAAAACAAACTGTTAAAATTAACCAAACGTTGGTAATCTTTGACTGTGTTGCTAAAGGCAATCCTAAACCACATCTATCGTGGTATTTCAATGATGAAAGAATACTGTTAAGTGAACGTTATTCGATTCAACACAATGGTTCAATTATTATACAAAATGTTCAAGATACAGACGCCGGCTCTTATAGCTGCCAAGCTGAAAACATAAACGGAAAGATTACAGCATCTGCTGACCTAGAAGTGATGGGTAAGATGTTATATATTACAAATGCATCTATTTAAAATATAAGTAATAATTGTACTTAAAATAATACGTCTTATTTCAGTGCCACCATCGTTTGTAACCATACCAACAGATATAAACGTAGCACCAGGAGAAAAAAATATTTTTAAATGTACAGCTAGAGGATTTCCAAAGCCGCTGATTACGTGGTTTAGAAACACAATAGCTTTACCAGAAAACGATAACTACGTTTTGAGTTATAATAACCAGATACTTACGATATTAGAGGTTACAACTGATGATGAGGGTCTGTATCATTGTAGGGCACAAAATACAGAAGGGCTTATTGAAACATCTGCAGAACTTAAAGTAGAGGAGATACAGTCATTGCCAGCACATATTGTAGTGAGACCTGAAGACACTGACGCTTTTAAAGGAACTTCCATACAAATGCCTTGTGAAGTAGAAGGTGAACCGCCTGCTACAGTAGAATGGAGAAAGGATGGTTCGCGAGTGAGGCCTGATGGTAGAATTTCAATTACTTTACTTGGAAGCTTAATTATTAATAATGTTACTGTGGCAGATACAGGTATTTACGAATGTTCTGCTTTTAATACACGTGGTCGAGATACTGCTTCTGCTTCATTGGTAATAAAAGATCACATTCTACCTGGGGATCAATATGTTAACATAGCTCTGACACAAGCAATGAGAGATGTTGATCAGGCCATTTCAAGGACAGTAGATCAACTATTTAATAATAAAAGTACTAATGTAGATATACGCAACCTTTATGTGATTAGTAGATTCCCAAAAGCACCAGCCAGAGAAATCGCTAAAGCTGCTGAAATTTATGAAAGAACTTTAGACAAAGTAAAAGGATTTGTGAATTCGGGACTTAAGGTTACCTCAGCAGAACCATTTAACTATCAAGCAATATTATCTAATGAACATCTGGAAGTAATTGCACGGTTGTCAGGTTGTGTTGCCCATAGAGATACGAACAATTGTTCTGACATGTGTTATCACGGAAAATATCGCACTTTTGATGGTAGTTGCAATAACTTTGCTCACCCTATGTGGGGCGCATCACTAACTGGTTTTAGACGAATCCTTTATCCTATATATGAAAACGGCTTCAGTCAACCTGTTGGTTGGAATAAAGATTTCAAGTATAATGGTTTTGTTTTACCTGGTGCTCGATTAGTCTCAACAACCATAATAACTACTGAAGAAATATCAGAAGATATTGAAATAACTCATATGACTATGCAATGGGGTCAATGGCTAGATCACGACTTGGATCATGCTTTGCCGTCTGTTAGTTCAGAGACATGGGATGGTGTCGATTGTAAAAAAACGTGTGATTACTCACCGCCATGTTTTCCTATTGATGTACCACCTAATGACCCGCGCATTACCAACCGTCGTTGTATAGATTTTTTCAGAACAAGCTCCGTATGCGGCTCAGGAATGACCTCTCCCTTGTTTGGAAAATTACAACCTAGGGAACAAATTAATCAGTTGACATCATTCATTGATGCCTCTCAAGTATATGGCTTTGAAAAAGATGTTGCTGAAGATTTACGTGATTTGACTAATGATGATGGAAAATTGCGAGTTGGATTTGCATTTTCAGGAAAAAAACCATTTTTGCCTACTACTGGCTTAAATGCTATGGATTGTAGGCGTAATCTAGAAGAAAGCAATAGAAATTGTTTTGTTGCAGGCGATATAAGGGCAAATGAACAAATAGGTTTAGCTGCTATGCATACTATTTGGATGCGAGAACATAACCGCCTAGCGAGTCAATTAAAAGCTATAAATCCATTTTGGGATGGCGATAAAGTTTATCACGAAGCAAGAAAAATTGTAGGAGCCGAGATGCAATTAATAACCTACGAGGATTGGTTACCGATTGTTATTGGTCCTGAAGGCTACAAACAATTAGGTGAATACAAAGGATACAATTCAACTTTGAATCCATCTATATCTAACGTTTTTGCCACAGCCGCTTTACGATTTGGTCATTCAATGATTAACCCTGTGCTTCATCGTTATGACGAAAATTTTGAAACAATCCCACAAGGACACTTACAGTTGCGCCATGCATTTTTCTCTCCTTGGAGATTGGTTGATGAAGGAGGAGTAGATCCATTATTAAGAGGTATGTTTACTACACCAGCCAAATTAAAGACTCCTACACAAAATCTGAATTCTGAACTTACCGAGAAACTTTTTTATAGTGCTCATGCTGTTGCCCTTGATTTGGCTGCGATTAACATTCAACGAGGTCGTGATCACGCTATACCTCCATACACGAAATGGAGACAAGTTTGCAACATGTCTGAAGTAAATAGTTTCGATGATTTGGCTAGAGAAATAACAGATAAAACAGTTAGAGACAAACTTGAAAAGTTATATGGTTCTGTGCATAATATTGACGTTTGGGTTGGAGGAATATTAGAAGATCAGGTTGAAGGTGGCAAAGTTGGCCCACTATTCCGATGTTTATTAGTAGAGCAATTCCGTAGACTGAGAGATGGCGATAGGTTTTGGTACGAAAATCCAACGATGTTTAAACCAATACAACTAGAACAGATTAAACAAACTAGTCTAGCTAGAATATTATGTGATAACGGGGACAACATCGATACAATTACCGAAAATGTATTTTTACTGCCTGACGTACAGGACGGTCTTGTGTCATGTGACGATTTACAATCAATTGATCTTCGATTCTGGGCAGATTGTGAAAGTTGTAACGATATCGATAGTTCTGAGCGATTCATTCGGCGTGCCCGTAGAGATACAACGCGCGAAGTAAATATTGAGTCGGACATTTTGCAAAATAATGAGCGTCTGAATCGTCTTGAGTATACACAATTTGACATAGAAAAGACCATGACACTACTCAAGGAACGGATCGAGTTATTAGAAAAACAATGTGATCATAATTAATCAAAATGCTTTAGTTTCTAAGTATCTTCTCAAATTGAAATTAATGTTGATGTGACAATGATATATATCTCTTTACATACATATATAATAACAAGCTCACAACGTGTTGTAATATTACGATATACAATATACATATGTGTATAATTATTTTGTATTTACATTATGACTTTTGCAAGTTGAAGTTTAAATGTTATAAGAATTAAGATAAAATTGCATTCTCGATAAACGTATTCTTTTTTATTCTATCAATTAATAATATACCTATTATAATTTATATTCCATTTATTTATACTTTTTATTTGGTAAAGTTTATTTATATTAAGGCTGCAAAGTAATCTAGTCTAAACTGATTTTAAGGAAATAATAGTATTAAGAAACTGTTACTTTGGCATATAACACATCGTCCAAAAGAACATTTATTTAAACTTAAGTTTTCCTCTTTTATAAGCATAATAATAATACAATTAATATATGTAATCATTATCTTACTTTTACATTATAATAGTTAGATATTAGAAATAAAAGTTCTCATTTTAAAATACTTGTCAAAAACCATTACCATATTAAGAAGATAAAACATTACCTAAGTACATAAATTTGATAGTTACAAACAATTAGTAATAATAATAATATGTTGATTATTACATATTATTAAGCTTTAGGTACTAATTATAAATACATAATGAGCCAATCTTATGGTTCGTTTTCACAGCTAAAATGGAAGGAATGAATGAACCAATTTGGATGAAATCATGCAATGGATTAGCATTGTGTATGTGACGACATGTTGGATATGTTGTAATTAAATTTTACTAGTTGGGATTATACTGCTTGACAATCAAGTTTTTTGTTATGAGTACTTAATACATTTGTGTTTGATTTCAAAACATACACTTTGTGTGTTTTGCGTACACAGTTTGTTGTCAGCAATAGAGTTCCATAGTCCTTACATATTTAGTGCATCGATATCGCGAACATATTAATCCTAATGGATCCTATTGAAATATCATATAGCGGATGTTGCTTTTTGGCCTATCTGTCATGTTTAGATTTTTTGTTTCGTAAGTGCGATTTGTGGCGTCGTTGTGGTCAACAGTGTAGGTAGGTAATCAAATAGTAATTAATTACATTAATTATTATGCTTATTAAAATACATGTCTATTATAATAACTTTATTTCCAAGATAATTATTAGTCTAATAATAAAAAATCAATGTGTTCTATATATTTACATATATAAGTTTTAATGTTCAATAAATAAAAAAAGATAAATAATGGCTTTTTATTTAAAAAAGACACCAATTATAACATATATTTTTTATATCACATATTTATAATAAAGCTGAAATAATGCACCAGAAACATTTTAAATACTTCAATTAGTATAAGCTTCTACTATCAAATGTGTATTTAGTCCAACGAATTACACCCCTATATATTTTGTGTGTCTACCTATGGCTAAAACCTGCCTACTATCTTTATTTCTTACTTCAACTTCCAAAAATGCAATTTTTTTTCCTGTCTTCTTTGTAACAGCTTCCACTTCTATATTATCACCTTCTTTTGCTGCACTCATGTAGCTGGAAATAACAAATTAAAATTATTGAAAATTTCTATGGCATTAGTGCCATAACTAAAGTATCGTAACATTTACTTAATGCATCTACAGTACATATTAAGGATGGAGTTTAGTCTCTAATAGTAAAAGTGTGAAAATTTCAAAAGTTAATAATTTTATTAGTTATAAGAATAAAGTGTTTTCATGTAAATGATACAGAATAGCATATTTGTTTCTGTTTAGCATATTTGTGTTTGTTTACCAGTCAAAGGTAAAAACCTTTGACTGGTACACTACTACAGTGGATTTCGGGTATAACGATGATGAACTGACCACTCTATTTTTGTCATTATATCCGGAAGTCGTTACAGGCAAAGGTAAAGAAATACAGACACATACACATGTATAGTTTTTTCTTCACACAAATCAGCATTGTTTTTACCGTTTTTCAATTTTGAAATGATTTCTGCCTTTTCTTGAACAGTGAATGTGCGTCTAGACAGTCATACTTATTCAAAAGTTTAATAAACTCAGTTGCTACTTAGAATATCACTTTATAACTGAACAATAAACTCAACTCCGAAAATTCACATGCTTTCCTACCTACTTAGCTGATATCTATAAACAATAGGTAAAAGTCTCCACACTTGCTGATCACATCTTAGTGTCTCTTTGACAACCAACATCGATCGCAATATCTGCATGGAACTTCTAAGAATTTGTTACAAATGATTCATTAAAAATAGTCACTACACCGAACTCGGTGCTACATCCAAAGTCACTATAGCCACATGAATTTTGTACTAAAACATGCTTTAAGTTTAAGGGACTTAGATTTAACATCGCTATAGGTAAATGGTTGCTACAACCAAGATCATAACAAATGAAATCCACTGTATTTTAATACATAAAGCAGGTGAATTATTTTACCTTTATACATTAAAAAAATATTAATATTCTATTTTCACAATAGTGTTGATAAAAGTATTTATTTAAATGAAAAGCATGTAAACTTTTAAAAACTTAAGTACTCAATTGAAATGAAATTTTTAACATATTTAAAATATTTTCTTATAATAGGTAGGTAATATTGTTCATATAAACATAATATGTTTATATACAATACAGTTAGTTGACATATCGTCTTTATTACATTGTTACTATAATATGTGTAATGTATATGTAAGTAATAAAAACTATAACAATCTTTAATAAATATACATACCTTACACTAAGATCAATAGATACACCTCTTGTGTCCACCTTTTCATTTGATGTCAGTGCATATGTTGAGATAGCATCAACTAAGTGGGCTATAAATCCCCCATGGAGTGTTCCTCTTTGATTTAAATGTTCTGGTCCAACTTGGAATTCTGTCAGCATTCTTCCATTATCACAGCGCACTACTTTCACCTGGCATACATGATACATAAATCCATTAATATGAAATTAATTTATATTTTAGAGGAGGTTAAAAATCTAGTTTATAAAATTAATAGAGGTGTAAATAAGAAATATTTAAAATTATGAATTGTTTTTAAAAATTAGATAATTGCGACATTGTCACATTTCGTCAAATTAAATTTATGATCGCTCTTAGTGCTAAGGCTAACTACTGACATCTTTTTTCTCATTATTCAACACAAAACTCTTTAGAAATTCATTATATACAATTTATAATACACACATCTTTAGTAACTTTATCTAAATTATATAACAAAAATAGATAAACAATAATAGTAAGTGTTCCAGTATATTACGTAATAGAAATATAAATGATCAGTGGGTATCCATTGGGGCGGACATTCTTTACCTTACGAAGATTTTGATCAAAACATTTTGTAGTGGCGATAACTTTGGTAAAAAGCTCTGCAACTGTTGCTCCTTTGGTGCACATATTTTTGTCAAATCAATTATTGACACTATTGATATATATTTCTGAAAAAAGTCAGACGTCGTAAGTTATTTGGTAGAAAAAATATACAACAATGCTTAACATTGTGGTATAATACGCAGGAATCTCAACCCGAGATAATAAAATTAAACACTAATGATGTAAGATCTAAGCATAACATTTTGTTTTACGATTATTTATTTTTAACAAATCACTACGTGAGACGTGGTTATCTTATTTACAATGAATTAAATAATATACGATGAGTATTAAATGATACCATAAGTAAATAAGTACTTTATTTCTGTTATTAACTATTTTACCTGACATATTAAAATTAATTATAAGTTATAATAAATATTTCGATGAAAATTTAAATCAACCTTATTAATTGACTTTGCAGGTTTACATTACTTTGAACTAAGAAACTAGGAATGTGTAATATGAGTTTGAATTTATGTAACCATTTTTGAAATGCGTATCAATATCTTTAGATAGAAGAGTATTATAAATAGTTCTACAATACTTTGAACAATTATTGATACTGATAGAAATACACTTGTACTCTTCTAAAATGTTATAATAAACACCTAACTGGTTTCGCTATTCAAAGCATTTTCAAAGGTAAACTCATTTTAAATTACGAACACTGTTTTTTATTATGTTGAAATATCTAATTAGGAAGTTACATACATTAATTTTCTACTTTTGTCAATATGGGGCCAGTGATTACTCTTAAATAATGTAGTGTAGTAATCGCTTATCGTAGATTAAGGTTAGTTTGTATGTTGACTGTTAACATAGATTAAGAATAGTACCTGCGTCTCTTAATTAAATAAATGTGATTTTTAAAGATAATTCTAAAAATTTTAGTTCGATGAACAGTGTTTTTGATGAATTTAAATAGTATTGCTAAGGCTGTCAGTTTTAAATTGATTAAACATGGTGCGATGTGGAGCGCCCCGTAGCAAGATAACACGACGATTTGTGCAAAATTGCTACAAACGATTTAAGTTGCACTTTGAGAGAAATCTATGTCTATTAGTGAGGCAATATGGATTGATAGTAATAGGGTGCTAACTGCTGCTTTGCTATACACCCTATCAGGCCAACCTCTGCGGATTTCCCCCTGGAAACCATTATGCACAATTTCAAGTGAATTCCTCACGATGGACTAACTGACCTGCCTTTTTATCCTCATTTATCATCTCTCACTGGTGCTCTGCCAATGTATAAATATCATTAGCGCAGACTGATCAGTTAGCCCATCGTGATAATTGCACCTGGAATTCAGCACGATGGTTTCCAAGGGGAATCACGTGGAAGTCGAACTGACGGGGTATATTGTTAGCAATGGGACTGGTAGTCCGCATTACTAATAATCCCTTCCCTTCCACCGCAAGGAGATCGACTTGACATAGTATATTACTGATAACGGAGTACCTTTTTATGAATGATAAAGGAACGGTAATTTCGTCTGTGCTGTCGGTGTACGCTGGCGGGACACCAGTGAGTGGTGATAGTTTAGGATGAAGTCAGGACAGTAGGGCCTATTGTGATAAATCCATTAATTAATCAAGATAGTTTCCAGAGGGGACCACAAGGAGATCGACCTGACAGGTTAAATAGCTAGTAATGGGGCTGATGGTCCCAAGAAGCAGCAGTTAGAAACTATTATTAACAATCCCTTTCCCCCCGGGCAATCATGTAGAGGTCGACCCCATATGAGGGGGTCGACCTCTACATGATTGCACACTAACGAGACATGTGTTTATATGAAAACTTCAAGCTGTCAATTTTAAATTCTAACCAATTATTGGCCGATTACATATCGATAAGACAAAATAGGTAACTGCTATTTTAATAAAAATAAATATTTGGGTGCTTTAATTTAGAATAGCTGGATAATACATAAAAGTTACACTCCCGATAGACAAGTATTCAATAGTGGTCCAGATAGTTTACTACAAATATTTGTTTATGACCATTAAGATATATATTACCAAGAAGAAAATCAGTCTTATTAAAAATCTCTATAAGTTTTTAATTATATTGTATGTAACACGAAATCAAATTTTTTTTGAGTACATCAAATTACAAATAAAAATATAACACCGTATAATAAACGAATGAATAAAAAGTCTTTATTGTTCCCGTCAAAGAATAATACAAATTATAAAGATTAACAAACAAAATGAATACTTAATTACAAAAATTTAATTAGGTACATAAAAGCAAGATAACGAGGCAACAATGGGCGGCTTTTTCGCTAAATTGCGATCTCTTCCAGGCAACCTTAGGATAGCGAGGATAATTAAAATGGTCTGGTCAAGGCGTAACAAAAAAATAATAAGACTAAAAAAAGGTTCATATTTAATTTAATTTAATTCAATATTTAATTATTTAGAGTTTTTTAAAACTCTGTTTAGATAGTGGTAATGTAATTTAATATATTTTTATAGTAAGTCCGATAATGTTTGTTATTTCAAACAATTGTTTCGATTTCATCCGAAAATATTTTATAGATGGAGTCTAGTATGGCGCTTACATCGAACGCAGCGCCTCGTTTTTATATACACATACTTATAGGTTTAAAAAGGACATAGGCTGCTTTTTATCTCGAACAACTATCGAAACCCGGTCAGGCGAAGAAAGTTGCAGGTAAATAATAGTTGTTAACAAAGATAATTACCTTTTTAATGTATTTTATATTATTAATCTCAATTATAAACATAATTAGGTACCAACTAAATCTCATTATACAATTAAAAAGGAAATAACCAAATAACACATGGTTTGAACTAGAAATTAAATTATCCAATTCGTTCTACGTACATTTTAATGTATTAAACATTTTCCGTATATTTTTACTTTACTTATATAATTTCGTAGATAACAACTGTATAAGAGAAAAATCTATGTCGTTATATGTAGTACATGTATTACGTTTTAAATGAATTACAAAAAAGTAGGTTCTAAATTAATTAGATTTTTGTGGCTATTAGAAGGACAATTAAGGGTAACGAGAAATAAATAGAGGATACAGAGGGAGTCATTTATTGTACAACTGCTTAAATCACAATTAATTACTTGATTACGAATAGACTATGTTACAATTCGTATGCTAATGTATCCAGTTTTTATATACAGTAGTAGAAGCACATATCATAAAAAAATGTCACAAATTATAAACCGATTTTCAAAGTCTTTTATTACAATCAGTAGGGTTTACCGCGCCTTGATCCCATACTAGTTTCGCTAATTTACTTACAAATAAAAGTGACGTTTTACTATGCGCATTTAAAATTGCTTATTGTGATGATGATGAAAACATATTTGTAAACATGTGATTATTCGTTTGAGATTGAAATATATCCAATGTAATTTATCTGCCTTAGAAATATCTAGTATATAAATCGTTATGTGTGTATTTTTTTGTAAAAGAATTTAAACTATTTTTTATAACTATTAATATAACAATATCGTTTTTTTTATACGACTTAGAATGGCAAATAAGCTGATGGCCCACCTGATGGAAAGTGGTAACCGTCGCCTATAGACATGAACAGCAATGGACATAACAGAGCATACTGTTTCGCTCAAGATACCCCCCACTCGTTGCCATTCTTGAGGACTCAGGTATTATTCCTCTGTACCCAGTAAATTCACGCTATATCCCACTCTTCAAACCGAAACACAGCCATGCAAACACAACTGCTTCATGGTTGAAACACAAATGGGACAGAGGTACCCAAGCAATCGACTTTTGTACAAAGTCTTCCTTTGATAAATCGTTATATAATATCGTTATTTAAATTAATATATAATCAAATTTATAAATAAAGATTAAAAACAGGGAATGTTTAGTCAGCCGAAATTGCTACCATTACACCGATAACTGTTGGACTCTTTATTGATGCATAGGTTTTGTGATAGAAATTTAAAATATTATTTTCAAAAATATTTAATTAAAATAGAGTAGTAGTGGGTCAGTGGCAAACTGTAATTAGTGCATATTTTTTTTCTCATTTCCACATAAATGAACATTTCAAGTAAGGAAAATAATTAAAAAATATAAATAATAATAATAAAAATAAAGTATTTACGTCTCTATTTATACATAACCTTAAGATAGAACTATATAGCGTCTATGAATTTATCGTTAAACGCCGGTTATTATGTCTATAAATAAAATTTACATTTAATTTGTGTAGTTATACAAGTTCCGTTATTAAACTCATAATATTAGAAGTTATTCGTATTATTATAGTGTTATATAATAATCCAATGTACTGACAGACGAAGGGTCACCGCTTCCTATAGCTGTAGGCCGAATAGATATCGTATGCTTATCTATACAACTTGTTATCTAAGAGGCTTCATTATTGTCGAAATAAAAAGCAATTAAAAAGCAAAGAGAAAACGGACCGGCCTCGCGTTGAACTTGGAACACATTTTAGTTCCGATGTAAGCAGGTAGTTGACTACACTTTTATTTATGTAATTATGTTTCGTGAACATTTTAAACATACTTAATATACTATAAAGGTAAGGTTTGTTGTTAAATATAAAGATGTGTTATTTACTGTAAATTTAATTTATTTAATTGTATTGTTATATTAGTATGAATCTAATAATATTTTTTTAATGGATGATAATGGAATGATATATTGCGATTCTCGCTGGTAGGAGACCAGTGAAGGATGATAAGTGAGAACGAAAGGGCAGGTCAGTTAGCTCATCGTGATGAATAGATCTAGAATTCAGCACGATGGTTTCCAGGGGAACCACGGGCAGGTTGACCTGATATTGTTAGCAATTGGACTGGTAGTCCGCATTATTAATATTCCCTTCCGTGTTTTCTTATTATAGGTTTATTTTTTAGTATGATATATTAAAAAAATACAAAGGTACTAAAGTTTCCGCTAATGCCTTCTAATTGATTACTTTGCAATGTTAATGTCTTTGGAAAGTATAATCATTTTCGGCGCTGGAGGCGCTATATCAAAGTACTACTAATAAATGTAATTTTGTATTAATCATATTAAGTATCTATTAATGTAGTATTTAATAATTAACTTTATATGTATTTTGCAATTTGTTTTGTGAGTTGTTAATATGTTTAGACTAGCTAATCAGGCGAATGCTGATTTACCACCCTACCGTTACCTACAGGGTATATACCATATCAAGTATACAAAATTTCATAAAACGGTTGAGTTGTTTTCAAGAATATCGTGAACAAACATAATGATACGGAAATTTTATAAATTAAAAAGATATTAATAATGTTCATAATTTATTACGTTTATATTTTAATAAAAATAGGTATATTTCAATAAGTTATATTTTAATATCATTTACATTAATATTTGAATGATTAATTAATCAATGTTTGAATTGACAGCGTCGAATTTGTCCAACCCAATTTGTCGAATTTGAGTTTTGAAATTAGCAACACATTTAACAATCCAATCT